ATTTTTGGACACAACTACAATTTCTCCCTAGATGTCCAAGCTAGCTTACTTTCCATCCTCTGCTTCTATTTCTTTCATGATTATAAAGGTTGTTCCATCCAAGGGCCATAATAAACAAGACAAAGGATTCTACCAAATAATTTTTCAACAAATGTCTATAGAAAACTTTTTAAAACCTGGTGTTTGAAAGTTACTCTAGTCTTACAGCAGAATTCAAAAACTGAAAATACATTTCAGAAAAGCAAAAGAAAAAATAGAATTTTTAGAATTTGATAGCATTTTCTAGGCTTTGCATTTGATCTTGGAATGGAAGATCAGAAAAGCTGACAGCTGGTTGCTTATTCTTCTTAGAGATAAAATTACAGGAGAAAGAAAAAAAATTACCAAATTCCATTAACATCTAATTTTGATGTATTTGTGAATTATGACAGGGAAGTAATTGGAATTGACTGGGCCAAACAGTAGGGTCAAAAGAACCATGTCAAAGAGCTTACCTGACTTCAGTGAGATCATATTAGAGGTCAAACTGATCACAGATTTAAATCCCCATGATTTAGTCTGTGACAAGATAGTCCTGAGGAAGAATAACAAACTGGAAAAAATGTGCCCTACATAGGAACAAGACAAGACTAATTCAATAATAAAGCCAAACCTCAGCAAACTAAAGTCTGAAAAAGAATTTTCCATATCACTACAAAAGCTACCTCCATTGTGGAAAAATTTATGATTAAGTGAACCATCAATGGTGAACCAATATCGCAAAAGAATGGTGTTTTCATAACAGTTGTTCTAAAGTGAAATCTCCAGATGTGACCACCAGGAAAAGTATACTTTGTTAGTAGCTAGTAAAAGATGATACCTCATATTTCCAGACACATCCAAAGCCACCTGTAGCCAATTCTGACTAAAGTGGTGGGTTTAGTGCTGAATAGTATTACTATCTGAGACCCCCACAAGCAAATGTCCTTACTGGGAACATTAAATATGTCTCCCTTCAAGCAGATCAGCGGAAAAATCAATATGAAATTTTCAGTGTTCCCATGCAAATCTAGCTGTGAAAGAGATTTCCAGATCTCTATTATTAATTTACCTTTCTCCTATTATCTAACCTAAACACGTATTTTAATGTTATTTGAAATATATTTTATATTTGAAATATAGCTGTACTACTGAACATAAAATCAGACTTACAAATTAATGCAAAAAAAAAAATTCTATCGAGTACCAATTTTAATTAATACTTTCTACACATGTAAATTAGATATTTTACTGATAGGCCACTGGTTGAATTTATGGGGTAATGAAAAGATGATAATGTTTTCCACATAGCAATTTTAATTTGTCATGCCTTCAGTGACAAGAGATTTCTGAAGAATGTGCACTATCAAAAAATCAGAAAATAATCATCCAACATCAACACTGAAATCAGACCAGGTTGCTGAGGACTTTTTCCATTACAGCCGAGTTTTGCTTTCTGTTTTTTTCCCCTTGAAGTTATCTCTCAGTTTATCAGTTGGGTGGTCGCTTCAAACTGTCATATATTTAATTTCTTTAAAACTATAGACAAAGAGAATGGAACAGATTTACTATATTTCATCCAATGCAAATTATATTTTTGATTATTTTTCATCAAACGCCCTACACATTAACTTATTGGGCATGTGTTTAAATACCTGTATGTTTCAGACAGGTAGCTTTCTGAGGACTTCAGGAAATCATGTCTTTCAACCTTCTACTCAAAATAAGATCAGTGCTGAACTCAGGTCGGGTTGCTCAGGGCTTGTTCTATTAAAGTGTAGTTTGAGGTGGGGTTCTTTTCTCTCTCTCTCAGCTACCTATCAATATATCAGTAGGGTGGTAGCAATACATACTGATTTCAAAGTCATGAATCTGTCAGGAAAAAATAACTTCCAGCATAGTATACTGGCTCAGAGCTTAGTGCTGTTTTCTTATTACATGCTTTTTTTTTTTTTTTAAGCAACCTCCAATGAGAACAGTAATATGCCAGAGTGTACTTGGATAGTTTTGCCACACATTGTTCACTCAGATCGTACAAAGATAAAACCAACACTCAACTACACAAAAGCCACCAAAAACCCGCAGATTACAGCAGTGTCCCCATTTGCTTTTATTCTGCTTCAAAGACATTTCAAAGAGAGATGATTTATTCTTCCCATATTTGGAAGATAAGACTCCCATCCTATTTTAACTTAGGTTGACTTAATGTATTATAGTTCATAGTTATTATATTTAAACACTATAATATCCCTTAACGTATGTTCCCTAAAATAGATGGAAATCAATTAATATTTTTGGTAGGATGAACACTTTTCCCTACCTAAGTTTCCCTACATAATGAATGAAAACCAGGAAGTGACAATGAAAAGCTAAAACTGAAAAATCATCTTGAAAATAAATCTAAGATAAATGCAAAGCTTCTGTCTTATTTCCCTTCTCCAACTTTCATAGCAACCATCTTATAAATCATTCCAGAGTACCACATGATGAAAGGAACAATGCCCCCCCATCAGAAAAAAAAAATCACTGTTATACTCATCCAGGTTTTTTCCCTCCTTTCTGGAAGAACATTTATGCAAGTGAGAGTTATAATAATGGTTGGAACAAACTACCTCATGGACAGGTGCTGGGCAAGCAACCACTGAGCTGGACTGCTGCCAGTACACCTCACTCTTGGCTGGATCTTCCACAGCAGAAATCTTAGCCATAATGTTTGAACTTCACTCCTCAGCCACTTCCCCTTTTTCACCCTTTACTCCTTCCCCTGCCAGTGTTTCCCTTTAAATGCAATGAGGCTTTGTGCAGAACCCAATATAATTCTTAACTATATTCATTCAATCTTTGATGAAACAAGAATAGTGTCAATTTTAAATCTAGTCAATTTTAAAACTAGTGGTAGAAGTAGGTATAAAAATCTTCCAGTGTTGGAAATTCTGGCAGCCTAAATCAAAGTATTTCTTTCAAGATGTGGCATTATTCTTTTCAGATTCATCTGTGGTTTTCTTCTTTTCTACTCTACAAGCTTACCGTTGCATTTCTTAGCTTCTTGTCCTAGTGCCTTCTTCTAGTGCCTTTGAATGTAACTTCATGTTAATCCTATATTGGAAAGACCAGGTGATTTTTTTTTTATTTTTTTTTTTGATTCTGCATTTCATCCAAAATACCTATTTAGAAATAATTTCAGAGTGCTTATTATACAGAATTATTTGGTTAACAGAATTACATTCCATTTGTAATCCTTCAAATGAGCAGTTTCTGCACATTCCTGGCTTTTTAATAAAGTGCTCATGATAATATCAGCTTCAAAATCTTCTCCCAGAACTATATCTATGGGGAAATTTGTCAGCTGGTTCAAAACCACAGGTCTTGCTTCTCAGGAAAGAGCTCATCAAGAAGAAGGTTTCTAGTCCTTGAACTTCATATTTGGCTCTTAACCATAATACTAAATTGACTGTGTGATGTTTTCATAAAGTTCAGTATTAAAGACTTGGTGCCCCAAGGCACACTTTCAGAGTTAGACCAGTCTGGCTTGGATCCATAGCCAGTGTTTATTTTACATCATTTATGGATTCTGCACCCCTAATCAACAACTGATTTGTCTGACTTTAGTTACTTCAAAGTCTTGAGTCACAGTATTATTGCAAGTAAGCCTCTAGACTTATAACAGTTAAACTCTAAGAAGACATTTTCCACCAAAGTGCATTCCAGCAGCTGAATTACAGATCAGGATGCTGCAAGACTGCAGTCAGCTCTATTCTACAGTATATAACATCTTTTTTGCACAACTGTGTTCAGTGCTAAACCTGAAACTAGTCTTTATCTGGGTGCAAAATTTAATAAAATATACAATTTGGTTGAATATAGCATTGCTGAATCCAAAGGACATACATAATGTTTACCATGAGAGCGCAATTAACAGTTTTTCAGTTCAAATAAAATATACACAAGGAATAAAACTTAGAGAAATTCTAAAATCACAGAAATATTAGCGTCATTATTTACAAATGGAAGGAGATAGGTAAATGTGACAATACTCCCACATGTAAAGAAATTATACTTACTCCATATATACTTTTTAATAGTAGCAAGTACAGCCAGTGTTGAGGAGGTAATGAAGGAAAGAGAAGATACTGTGTACTCTTTTATATATATAATGACTATTGTTGTCTCTTTAAAGTAAGGAAAAATGTAGAAAGTAGAAAGTTTCAATGAAGTTTCAATACATGAAAACCAAGAAAGTAAGTCTGTAGGATTTAAAACAGTATACAAAGAATTCACATGATAAATTTGCTGTAGGAAAGCTCTGGTTTCAAGATAAAAACTTAGAAAACAGACTCATGTGTATATATTTCTGCATTATAATTAAACTATTACATTGAAATATAATGCTGTTAACACGGCATAGTATTAACAATCAGTAAGAAACCAGGAACCGTCATTGCCTAATGTCTAAATTCTTTGGAGTACTTTTTACCTATAGACATACGAAAGGCTCAAAACACACCAACAACCATTTTTCAAAACACTGTGTTAAAGCTATTTCACTACTTATTTGGACACAGCACATTTAAGAAAACAATTGCTTTTTAAATTTTTCAGGCCTTCGAGTAATTATGGCAGGCCTGAGCCCCTTGCCATTTCCTTGCCCCTACTTATTTATCTCTTAAATTTCTCTGAATTAGTAATCTACTCAGATAATTTGAGGTGGATGTACATTTTCCCAACATTCAACAAGTACCGGTTCACAACAGTTTCCATGCCAGAACTTTCCTCCGTAGGCAGTTAGTCAGAGCATGTGTCTCCATAGCATGCAGCATTTTGCATGAGTTTATAACTGACACAATAACCACACTTTAGCTGGAACTAGATGAACAGCCTTACAGCTGCACAGCATATTGGCAGGTATATAAGAATAGTAAGAAGCAAGCTTACAATGAAGATTTTCCGTATATTAATTTCAAAAAGGAAAAAAAATTACTTACCTGTGGGGATGAGGGACTAAAAGCCACATTGATGACACATTCTGTGTGTCCCCCCAGTTTATGTGAAAAACTGCTTGAATGCATTTCATATATGTAAGCCTGAAAATCAATGAGATTATATTTTCACTTTAAAGAAATATATCACATTCTAGAAGCACTAAGTTATACTATAGGAAGACTAAAGATTCAGCCTACAGAGAAGTTAGAAAAATTTCGTAATAGCTAAACAGATGTAAAAGCCATCAACAACTTAGAATTGATTTCTATAATTCAGGATAATTTAGCAAATGCTTAACTCAAATAAGGAAAAAATTATTTAGAAAGAGTAATGATATCTTTTCCCCTTAAATAACTAAACATTAGGTATATTTAAGTAGGCAGATAAAAACTGAACATTTAAAAATATATTTTTAATGCTGTTCTTCAGAATTTAAGCCCTTTCTTCTAAGTAGTAATATGTAGAATCTAAAACCTTGGTTTCTAAATTTGAAAACTCTTACGTTTGCTGCTACATTAAATAAAATTTTTCATTTTCTACAGTCTGCAGTTTTAAATTGAACAGCATAGAATTCGATTAAAAAATCAATAATATGAAAAGTGATGTGGGTATCATAAATGAGAAAAAGCATACTGCCTGCCTTTGCTTCTGAAAGGAAAAAGGGAAAAATGCTTTCCAAGGAGCCAATGAAATTTAGTCGCAAAATAATTACATTGTTATTGGTACAGCCTCAAATAATGAAAAAGTGCCAATGAAAAACTGCAGTATGAAACCAATCCAAAATTCAGTGAAATTCATAGACATACTAATACTATGGAAACTGTTGGTCTATGACATTAAATTAGAATTATCTTACATAAACAAAAGAGAAAATGTTTTGAAGTAAAACCTGTAGTATAGGTCCTCCACATAAAAAAACACTTGTGAGAGTCATGTGCAGGCACATAGGGTTGTATTAGACTATGCCTTATCTAGTAAAAATAACAGTTATTTGCAGGATACAGTCAGACAATATGCATACACAAGGCATATCAAGAGAGACTCATATGTAGAAAATATGCAGACTTATTTGATACATTATAAATAAAATGCGTATCTCGAAAGAATGAATTGTAAAACATGCAAAAAATAGTCAATGATAATAATCGAAACTTTGCAGTTTCAATAAAAAATTAAAATGTTCCATTGTCTTTATGAAATCTCTTCAGTTAAGACTGTAAACATGGAATTCAGAGCACAGCCTAACATAAGCTAAACCAAACTGTGCATAGATGCTATTAGAACAATGTATCACTCTGTGATTTAAGTTTTTGATTGGTAGTACCCTAAAATGAGTTTAATCATTCAGACCCAAGACAGATGAGCTGTCCCTAGCAGACAGAAAACAGCTACAAAATATATGTTCCAAAAGACTGTGGACTCAACTGACAGTCTTCCCAATTTATGAAAAGATTCATGGACCCATGCAGGTCCTGAAAAACACTTAATGCCTCACCTAGAAAACAAATCTTATCAGCCAACATTCTCTAGACCAAACCAGCACTGAAGAAATACTGGATAGTCCTCAGTGTCAAAAATTCCATTCATTACCATATTCGCTGAGGGGCAAACTAAGAGTCCAACTGTAAATCTACTTAATTGATTTCAGTTTATATACCTCACATATTGTGGATTCAGTCCAGTACATGGAATTAAAACCATATAATGGCATAAATCAAGTACCTAAAACCAGACAAAAGCATAGGTATGCATTTTTAACCTCTGGATCTTTTGTAGCATTCCACAGAGATATAACCATACTAACTGGTAAAGTAGCAGCATCCCCAGTAATGTGTTTAAATCATTTCATCCTTCCTAAAAGGATACAGCAAACACTTCTAAACGGGAAATATTCTGCCTTAAAAAATAAGACCCTCCCTACTTTTTAAACATCTCAGGAAACTGGTCATAATAATGAGTACTTGACTGCTAGTAATATAAAAGCAGCATTTTTTTGTTGTTTTAAAACATATGGCCATACCACAGCTACTGTGATTTACACCACTTGGGACATGATCAGTTCACAAGGGAACAGGTAGGTAAGGGGAACCCACACAAGATAAAACTGATATAATGACACAAGGGAAAGCATTCTGATGTGTCTGTAGAAAAGAAATTATTTTCTTTGATGGAAAGTACAAGACCATGTATTAATAAATTCAGTCTGTACACAGGACTACTCAAAGTCTTGCTGTTTCAATACAGAAAAGCTGCAATTGCTGTTCAAAAATACAGTTAAACATAAGATTCCTCTTTATTGACATAAAAATATTAAGAGGTTGTGTTGGTTATTTATTTCACATCCTAAACAGATTACAATATTGCCAAGTAGTCAGGCTTAAACAGAGAAGGTTTCAGAGTTCTAACATAATAGTAGCCTTCAAAATTTCCCTCATTTTATGGGCCACATCAATCCTTTCTCATCCTTCCATACTGGATTTCCATTATTCACTCTGATGACACTACCATGACTCAACTGGTATCAAAATTATTAGATGCTGACACCTGTGTGTTATCTCAGTACCTGTAGCATTGTGCTCTCTTCTTCATCACCAAGCTTTGTCACACTGTCCCTACTGTCCAGACTTCCCACAAGACTTTCCTTCTAAGAACAGAGTGCTAGCAATGACCTTTTTACTCCAGCAAGGATGAGGTGTAGAGACTGCAGTCAAGCTTACTTCACCACCACCACCACTGTGCCAGAGCAGACTACAGCAGTCATGCTCACATAATTAATGGGAATCTGCAAGTCTCAAGAAAATGGGAGATGAGATGCTGTAGAAGTCCATATTCCAAGCAGACACCAGAAAGGAAATTGAGAGAGAGCAAGAAGCCTTACAAGCAGACTGCAGTCTCCAGAACAGCATGCTCCACCGCTTCTAGCTGAAGAGAATATTTGTGAAAACGGAGAAATCAATCTTACCAAACAGCCCCCTCAAAATCCTGTGGACATCTTGTCAAAATGCTTCAACACTATTACAATGCTCAGTAATGCCCTGACACTTTTTATGTGTTTGTATCATGAAAGATTCAAATCCTGTTCCTCACAGCTATTGTACACATGTCCAACCCCTTTGGAAATGTGGGAACGACCAGAACAGTAGAAATATGTCATGTTTCTTCACACAATATGGAACTTTGTTAGATATAAGAACTTAAACTGAATAGAACTGAATGGGGAAAATACTGGAGAACGACAACTCTAAAATTCAGGGGGTTGGTACATAGTATATAAGTCCTCTTGACTCCACACAGCTGACACATGGAGACCTAGTAAAAGAGATTTATGAAACTTCTATTGCAAGCAATTATTTCCCTTCACAAGCTAATTACTCTGCAAGTTATTGGAATGCCTGCATCAGCCCTTCTGCATATACTAACACCAGTCTTTGGCAGAGAGGTATAGGCAGCAAACAGGACTATGGTTTCTATCACTCACCATCTTTTCTTTTTCTGGCCTCAAATTGCCTTACAGTCAGTTTTCTTTTCCTCTACAAGCCTACTCTCCTCATACCTTTCATGGAAGTGGGCACAAAGAGGCAAAGTCAAGGACAGCAACAGTCAAGAGCGTGAAATGCTTTGAATCACAGATCTACAATGTCTTCCAATAATTTCTGAGCCAAGAAGGAACATGGCTCCATGTTTTAACCAAGAGAACATACCATGGAGAGACATGGTTAGTGAAGCTGAAAATTTTCCATCATAATCTAGTGGCTTACAGAACTTTGCCAAACTTATCCAATAAAAATTAATTTTCCATTCCAGGTTCTCTATTTTGAGGAGGAACATATTCATTTTTGGCTTAATCTCTATGTCCCCACTCCTCTCTGTATAATAGATATGATAATATTTCACTCTTTTTTGAAGACAAATCCCATGTCTGTGAAACCCAGGTATTCTAGTAATTCTTGCTCTTCCACACAGTTCCTAAATCAACCATTTGGCTCATACTTTTCTTTCAAAAAAATGCTATGAAGCAGTTGTGCAGCTTCGGTAGAATCTTGCAAGTGAAAAGCATTCAAACTCTTACCTCCCACCTTGCAAGAAATTATTCTAAACCCTGAGGTAGTGGTTATGCTGGGATGAAGTGCTCTTGTGAATCGTCACATTGTGTAACAAGATTCACCAGGTCAGAGAAAAGTAATAACAGACAAGTACAGATAGAAGCCCACCTGTAGTTAACCACTGAAGCATTCACCATCATGGGAAAGAACTTTACTTTGATTTTTATTATGAGACTTCTTTCATATTGAACAGCTGCTAAACAAAATACACAGAACATGGCTGAGAACACAACCTTCCCACTGCACTTCATTTCTACAGTTCTATCCTAACAGAACTAGTGTTAAGCTTCTGTCTGATACTGTATTTCTAGCCCTATAAATGTTAAATACTTAGGTGTGGTGGCTCTGTTTCAACAGAAAAGAGAGACCATGGAGACCCTGACTGCATCCCAGATTTTATTATGTTGTGACAGCTATCATCTTCTCTTCCAGTAACTGTGCTTTTAAGGAAATTAATAGCAAATACTTTAAATCAGAATATTTTTTACATGTAACACAATAAAATATGATTAAAAGAAAAACATCACCATAAAAAAGTGTATAAAACGAGCTTCTGTTCAAGTAACTCTAGTCACAGATATTTAAGCTAGCCAGTGATAGTCTAAATTCTGAGAATAAAAGTTAACTTGGTGCAAGACTGAAAATAAACTTTTCAGTAAATTTATTTTTAACTTCAGTAGTAAAAAAAAAATAAAAGGAAAAAAAAAAAAAGCCAAGCAAAAACAAACCCAAAGAAAACTGTATTTTAACAGAAATTACATTTAGGTATTCATAGAAAGTGGAATAACTCCAGTATAAACAATCTCCTACCATAGTCTGCCATCATTCTAGTTTTACTACATTTCTGATGTCATTCAAATTGTTTTTCTATTCTATACTTACTAGACTTTTTAGCATATTCTTCCCTACTGAAAAAAAAAAAAAAAAGTTAGTGAATTATAAATGATACCATAATACTAGCCACAAAAGAAAAAAAAATTGAAAATATTAATTCAATG